AAAATTGAAGTTTCATTCTGTACAGCATACAGGATTCAGGAACAAGAGCCTGCCCATCTAATTTTGTTCCCTTCATCGAGAATGACACACAAACTATTTGAAAATTCAATTTCGGAGAAGAGACATTTGTAGGAATGTGCTAGTTGGTTTGAAGAATACGAACTAATGTACAATCATATCACAGCAATCACTTGTTTCTTGGCAAAGCACATCAAGGTACGCCCCTCCTATCTCAAGTTTGAACTGAAAAATAGTATCGATCCAATTACTTTTAGTCCCTCCACCATTTATCAGACATTGCTGACAATGCGCAGCAATAACCAGCTGTTTCTTTTCTTCTTAAATCTTTTTTGTTTCACATTGCCCTTTGTTTGGAAACTGGGGAAGCAGACGGACACAAGCTGAAAGCTTTCCCTTCCCTTATTTGGTTAGGAACGAATGGGACGAACCAAGATGACATGCATACAAAAACCTCTCCTTCCCATTGGATCACATCAAATTGTTGTCTCCCAAGGAGAAAAGTAGGGAGAAAACAGAGAAATAAAGATCTCCTTAGAAAATAAAAGACCTTTTCTATTGGCCTCACCCAAAATAATCTCTTTCAATTGGGTTCCATGCAGGGGCAGATTTATTAAATGGGGCACGTGAACCCATGGTCTTTCCGCCAAACTAGGTATTCTATGTACATATTTTCTGGAATTGATCTAATATTACCTGCTGGCACCCATGCTCCAAAGAGGGCTAAATGGTACACTTGGTTGAATGCTGAGTTATTACCTAAAGGAGCAGGGATTAATTCCCACTTAATACTTTCTTTTTTCTCCTTTCTTTAGTGGTAATACTTTCTTAGTAGTGCACCCATGTTATAAAAATTCTAGATCTGCCTCTGGCTCCATGCAAGGGATATTGTATTATCTTCTGAAATTTCCCTGTTCTCAACCTAAAGGAAACAGGGAAGGGAAAGCTATAACCTCTTGTCTTCCTTTCATTCTTCCCCTACCGCAGTACCTAGTATTTAAAAGGAATATCTTTGAGGTATGGAGTTTGGAACATTGAAAATAGAATTATACCTCTGAACCCTCTTCTTGACTCCACCTTGAGTTACAGCTAGGTAGTTTAGCCTCTTCATTCTTCTGTTTTTCCATCAGTTGAGCACCTCTGGCGGCCTTTGCTTCAGCCCCTTTTAAGTACTTTGTGGGATTGCCTTCACTGTCATAATAGCGACCTACAAGCTTACCGACAAATCTGCCAGAAAGGAAGAGAGCTAGCAATCCATTCAATTCTTCAATCTTAACCTTCCTATCTATGTTAGTCATAATAGGGGAAACAAACAGAGGGATGGCTTCTTAAGCCAAATTCTTTGTTATTGCTTTTTAGCTGCCAAAAAACATGAGATATGAACCACGATTTGTTATTTTATTTTGTTGTCCATTTTATTAGCAGAGAAGAATAAAGTCTAATTTCTCCATTAGGAAGAATCTATTCCCTGATGTTTTGCAGAAATATCATGGAAATTAAATAGTAATAAATCTGAGTTTTGAATAAGAAATTGAAGACACTGCTGATAACCTTTCAAATAGATGAACTGTTTGCATTTCACATTGCCAAATTCAAGATTAAGAAGTTTGAAGATGAATTACTCACGTGTATGTTCTGAAGTAGAAGTCTCTCCAGTCAACAATACTTTTAACCTATAAAAGTGAGATGTCGAAAATAAGTTCTTCCCTATCAAGACAAAAAAAATGCTAGACACAGCACACTTTAAAAGATATTTCTGGAGACTGATATCAATACAACTTCAGTACAATTCAAAAAAAGGAAGCAGACCCACTGAATGACAACAGAACATCACTACCTCGGCACTGGATAAACCGTGCAGTGAGTCAGTAAGTCCATCTCCTGTATTAACATAGAATAAAAGAACTTAACATTAGAAGCCACAAATCATCAAGACAAAACCAAAATATAAGAATCATATTTCATTTATGTCATGGAAATAGAGAGGCAAGCAAGAAGTCCAAATATCACAAATATTGCATTTGGGCATCAGTCTTGTTACACTTTACAGGTTTCAAACTATCTAGAAGCAAGAAAAGGGAATTCTCATTAGCAGGTCAAGTTTTAGCAGCTTATTATTTGTGTCCAGAGTGGAAATGACAACTGGGATTCTTAAAAGGCAACAGTTATTGCTTAAATGGCTTCAAACATCATAATTCATAGTTCTCACATTCTTTTCCTAATATCAATCGTTGTAGGATTAGTCGAAAGATTTCCAGAAATAGACAAGATCAAGCACATTCTTTAAATTATACAGAGTTCGTGCTTGACTGAGCTTTGTATTTGATAAGTTGCACTTGACTAAGTCTAAAGAGTCTAGTCCTGAGTAGGCATTCCTTTCCCTTTGAAGAAGCCCAGGAAAAGAGAAAAAAATATAGTTTGTACTGTCATAACAACAATTCAATTGTACAAACCATAGAGCACAACTTTCAATTTCTAGCCTCTTTCAATACAGATGCCATGAAGCTCCCCAATTTACTGCTTCCATTCTGCATTCGCCTTCTAGCTGAAGCTTTCGCCCAGTTCCAGTATAATATTATGTAGTTGGTTATTAGATGTTCAAAATACCTCTTGGTCCTTAGAAGTTGATGACAACAATATTAAACTTAAGGTAGGAGAATTCTTGGCTAATGAACTTCCAAATCCCACTTCACGATATGGTAATGAACCCCGGGGATAATTGATGAGCCACAATATCTGCTAGTTTACTCCTTTGCTTATTAAAATTTCCTTTAGGATTTGAAACTTTTTTAACTTTAAGTTTAGTACAAGCAACCTGTTTGTACAACATAAAGGAACACTGTTTGATCCAAGGGGATAAATATAGAATATGAATTTTGATCAGATAACAGTTCAAATATTATCTCAACTTACATTCACCAATTCACTCACTAACCTTTCAAAGAGAGAAAAAAAAAAAAGAATTGACAGCGGCTAACCCTACAATAATTGTCTCCACCTTACAGATGCAACTGGTGGTTAACCACTAAGCAAAGCATAACAGAACCCTAGCGATAAACCACAATCCCTAATTGCAAGCAAGTGACAGGAGCCTCCAAGTAAAATGCATTTTAAAAACAAAACACTTTACAATAATTGGAATGACACTTTCTTGGCAGCTGGAGATGGATCTGATATTTTTAAGATTTTTCAACTATTTGAAAGGAATGTTGATTTATTAAGTTGTTTTTGCTTCTGTCATGAACTCTTAGTTCGAACTATATGCAGTCATAATGTGCAGTGCAGTAGACAAACTAATAACAACCTCAATGCACTACATCGTAGATCACCATATCCAAAAAAATGGAAATATGGTCAGAAGATTCTAACCTGTAAAGTTTCCGGATACGAATGCACGCGAAGCATCTCTGAAATTTGAAAATCGTAAAAACAACATATGTTGGTTGGAAAAAGCAATTACAATTTATAAATACTCCTATGAGATTAGCCTTATATGACTCGGAATCAGCAAAAGTTTATAAGCGATTTTCCTTCATCAGAAAATAAAGTTCCCACATAAGTAAGAAAAAAAGGTGAGAACAGTAACCGATCTTATGACTCGAAGTGATAGAATCAATGAATACATTAAACCTTCAATAAGGATTACAAATTATGAATAGCATAAATACAACAATTGCAAAAGAATTGGAAAAAAAAAAAGACCTTCCAGCAAAATGGTTGTAGCCGTCTCCTACTCCATAGTGACTTTTTCCTTTGCTCACATCAAATACTGACCTAATAATAGCACCAAATCAAAAGCAACAAAATCACTCAAATGTTCAAAAAAATTCAATCTTGAAATGACATAAGAGTAGTAGTATAGCAGATTTGAACATGTACCCAATAATACCAAGAAAAATGGGCAAGCTTGGATCAGACCCATTGTAAATTGCAAGTTCTTCAACAGTAAAAAGTCTCTGAAAATTCTAAAAAAATGAACCCCACAAAATGAAAAAGTGATCTTGAGATTCAGATACAAATAATACAACAAAAGATACTGATATATTCAAGATTATGGAGTTAAAGAGACAAACTTGTGGAGTAGAGTAGAGTGATTTGAGAGGGAAAATCTTGAAAAGGAGCAAAGAGAGAAGTGCCACTATTAGAGAAATCCCTAAAAATGGAGACCAACGCATTTTCACTCTTTACTGAGGACTCAAAAATCAAAAGTCACCAACTTTCCCGTTCGCAGCTACTTCAATTGTGCTTACTTGACAGAGAATTGTAATAATTTTAGCTTCTTCATCAGCCTTTCTTGTTGAATTGTGTCTTTGAAAATTACGAGTATTATTTATTGTTTAAAAAGCAATTTTTTTTAAAAGGACCTGAAAATTAGACACTTGATTTTTTAGTCTACTGTGGAGAATTGAAAGTTGACTTTCACAACTAGGTGAGTTGAACTTTGAAACAGTCCTTTTTTTTAATGAGTTCAGGCTAGAGAAAATATTTTAGAATGAATATTATTCGAACCAAATAAATAAATAAATTATGAAACCATTTAAATCTTTTCTGGCGACTGAGTTTGCCACAAAATGTTAAAAAGTACGCTACAAATAAATTAAAAGTAGGTCTATGCTCCAAACAACGACCTATAATAAATTTATTTGTGAGAACATTTTATTAACTTTGTGGCGAGTTAAGTCACAAAGATAATTTGTTTAATTATAGCTTTCGCGGTGACTAAAATCGTCACAAAAGTTAACAAATGTGTCACAAATAAAAAGGTACGTCGTTACTCAAAATGGCGACATATAGTCCGCCGCTCAACCATTACTATTATGGCGACTTGACACTTACTTTTGATTATGACTAAAGAGGTTGCTACAAAACGTCGTTACTAAAATCTTATTTTTTATAGTGATAAAATGGGAGATAAAAGAATTATCTTGCAATGTAGTCAATCTTAGTTAAAACTAACAACATAGACAAAAATTTCAAATTCATTAATCAAATGATATACTATAAAGATCAGAAGGTTGAAGTTGTTTAGTTACATTGAAAAATCTTAAAACATCTACCCATTGCTCCCATTTTTTCAGCCTATGAACAGCAATTGTATCTGGTATAAGCTCATGTGAACATCTTCCATTAGTTCCTGGATAATCATACATTCTTGGCTTGTTAGAAAACCTATTTTTTGCTTTATTTCCCAAATTTAGCCATTGACCAACCAACTTATCTTCAGGACCATAAGTATTATTCGCAGGAATATTCGATCTTCCAATCCATTCCACCAGATCCCACGATAAAATAAATCCCATTCCGGACATGTAATGCACGAACGCGTTCATGCTAGGGCAAGGTATAACAAAACCATAATATAAATCAACTCTAGGTAATGGTTGGAGAGATGTTGCTAATGGTGCTAGCCTCAAATACACATCATCATCCGCCTTCATGACGTAGTCGTAACGTGTAGGAAGGATTTGAGGAAGGGTAGAAAAGTAAGTGTAAGTTTTGCCACTATTCATGTTTTCAGAGCAGTTGAGGACGATAATGTCATTAAAACGTATGATTTCTAAGGCGATGAATGTCCGATGTTCAGCATTGGTTATGTTGCAGAAAATGAACTTCACGTCGATACGAGCTATGGATGTGGATTGAATTCCATAAGCCAGACGAAGGAAATGTCGCCTATCGAAATTTCTTGGTTGTGTAAAAATTCCTATTAAGAGGGTGAACTGTGCGTTCATTTGGGTCGATTGTCGCAACAAAACGGTGTTGTTTAACGAAGTTGTTATCGAAAAGTTTAAGCGAATATTAAATGATATAAAGAAGATAAAGAGAAGTATAACAAAAGAAGATAAAGAAACCAAAAGCAGCTTCCTCCTCAGCATCCTAGTTTAGAAAATGATATAAAAGGTATGTCATTGAAAGTTTAGACAAAAGGAACCAAGTTTGAATACTTAGAAAATGGATTATGTGCTTTTTAAATAGACCACAGACCACATATATATATATATAAAAAGAAAAGGCATTGTCCTTACATGGCATGGTTAATGGTATGAAGAAAGTAGAAAGCTTGTGATATTGTCATGCTTTGTATGCAAGGAGTAATTATCTTGTGAAAATTATGTGATGAGGGGCTTAAAATGTGAATAATTTAACAAGTAAATTTGGTTTCACTTGAATCAGAAAGAGCTCAAAAGTTATGTTGCTACCAAAATTTTAGTCTTATAAGTTTATAACACGATGCTTCATAGTTATTCTGATATACATCCATTATCTCATCTGGTTATGTAATAGATAAACAAATACTTAAAAAAATTTAAAAATATTTCACCTTGTATAGTTTTCTTTTTTCTGATAACCTTGTAAATTGTACATACAGGGGAAGGCCAGGAGAAATGAAGAAGGAAATTATAATATAAGAAATTGAACACTAATAGCCAGTCAATTGAGTTACTATGATCTCCAATTTAAATATCACTAGTCTAACGATACGCGCGTTGTGCGTGTATTCTATCTCAATAATTATTAAAAAAATAAAAATTACATAAATATTATATTAAAATTATATTTGAGTTAAAAAAATAAAAGTTAAAGGAGAAGGTATAACTTCTTGAAAATGATGATTGATGATCATATTTAGCCAACTCAACAAAAGAAAAACTCTGCTCATAGAAGTCCTTACTCATCTCAGTTTACTCCAGTTTTATAATTTTATTATTTCAAGTTCACAAGTCATCACGCTTCTTTTTTAGTCTCTTGGCCTATTGCGCCAACCATCTCTCTGTCTTTCTTTCTTTCATATTCTTAAAAATATTCTTAGTTATTTATTTTAATTATTGAGTGTAGTTTTTAAATATTATATGAAAATCCGATGAATAGAAAAGTATTAGAAAATGAATTTAATATACTGTACAATAAAAATAATTAAATGATAATTTTTTCAATATGAATTTATGCCACGACCCAAAATCCAACTAGCCGTGATGGCACCTAACCCAACCCGTTAGGTAAGCCAATTTATAAATATTTGATTTAAATAATATTTAACTGGCTCTATTAAACTCCTCAAGGACTGGTAGTACAAATCATGAGCTTGTAAGATTAGAATTTACAAAGCTGGTAAGAAATAAATACATCATCTGTTCGAAATGTACATAAACAGATTTTCTTTATAAATCTAAGGCTACCATGAACAAGAGGCAGCTACGACCGGAATATAGGTACGTCTTCAAATCCAGCCCCCGTCGATCACAACAACGTCAACATCCAATATCTGCACGCAAGGTGCAAAAGTGTAGTATGAGTACAACCGACCCCATATACTCAATAAGTAACAAACCTAACCTTAGGTTGAAAGTAGTGACGAGCTGGAACACAAGTCGGGGTCCAACACCAATAGCCAACAACATTTCATAACAATATAATTTAAAGTAGCACAAGTAATAATTCAACAATAACATGCTCAACTCAATCATGATTTCTGAAAATAGCTATGCCTTTCAAGTGTATCAGTGAAAACTCAAGTCTTTTACCAAAGTTGCCAAAAATATGAGTAAGTTTGAAAATAATAATTTTTCCAAAATTCCTTTCAACAATAAATAAGATGTTTCATTTTCTTTCCACATAGCCATTGGAAAATGCACCAATATGCCCATATGCCAATATGTGTGAGAAGTCATGAATGACGTGATACCGTACAACATGAAGAAAATGCATCTCTATGCATGTATGTCAAGTGTGCATGTCAATGCGATGCAACTCAGTGATAAAACCATATGCATTCTCTCAGAGTATCATTTCACCCAGTCCTCCCAGTCACTCAGTCCTCACGGTCACTCAGTCCTCACAATCACTCAATTCTCTCAATCATTCGGCACTCGCACTCATTAGGTACCTGCACTCACTGGGGGGAGGGTGTACAGACTCTGGAGGGGCTCCTTCAGCCCAAGCGCTATAATCTGTACGGACAACTCACATGCTATAGTATCAATATATGTATTCGCACAGACAACTCACGTACTATAATAAGCCAATCTGGCCTGCTGCAGCGTGCAACCCGATCCCATAATAATAAAGTATATAATGGCTTACTGCGGCGTGCAGCCCGATCCCATAATTATCCTCACAATCAGACCCTCGGCCTCACTCAGTCATCAATCTCTCCAGTCTCTCGGGCTCACAATATCATGAAACTAGCCCAAAATAATGATATGATGAATCAATAAATAGCAACATAGACTGAGGGATGATATGAAATGAATGAACATGACTGAGTATGAATTTACAATTTAAACAAATAAATCGACAGTAGAAATGACCTCCATGGGTCCCAATAATACCAACATTTGCCTAAGCATTATTTCTGACATGAGTCACAACTCGATAACTCTAGTACGTAGAGATTTCATGATTACAGATAAGTTCAGGTAACTACACAGTACCACAGGAATAACAGGAGTCACAGTTCACACGGTGCACGCCCACACGCCAGTCACCTAGCATGTGCGTTACCTCAACACCAAACACATAACACGTATAATGAGGGTTCATACCCTCATCTCCAAGATTAGAATAGTTACTTACCTCGAGAAAGACAAATCCAATACCGAGCAAGATGTACAATACTCCGAAAATTCCATTCCATGCGTATCAACCTCCATACGCCTTCCTATCTCCTCAATTCAAGCCAAATGACGCGTATATATTCAAACAACGTGCAAATTAATCACAACTTACTCTAATGTTTACAATTTAACAATTTACAAAAATTTCCAACTCCGCTCGAAAAATCGATAGTGTGGCCCACGTCTCGGAATCCGAAAAAACTCACAAAATCCAAACACCTGTTCCGATACGAGTCCAACCATACAAAAATTATCAAATTCCGACATCAGATTGACCTTCAAATCTTCATTTTATATTTTTGGAAGATTTTATAAAAATCTGATTTTTCTTCCATAAATTCACGGATTCATGATGTAAATGAATATGGAATCATGAAATATAATCAATATAGGATAAGGAACACTTACCCCATTATTTTCCCGTGAAAATCGCCCAAAAATCGCCTACACTGAACTCCCCAAACTCAAAAATGAGTAAAAATGGCAAAACTCCCTGTTTTATGGGGGTTTTATGTATATGGCGCCACAGGTGGCGTGGGATGCTGCCTGTGGCGCCCTTTCTAGTACTTTCAGCAGTCCCAGCGCCAGGGATAGCACCCCACGCTACCCTGGGCGTTGACGGCGACAGAAAATCGTTCTTGACACGGAAATGGGCATAACTCTCTCATACGATGTCCGAATTCAACGATTCTTTTTGCTATGGCTCCGTAATTTTAATACGGATCTAATGCTTTAATAAAAACTGAATTTGGAGCTCATTTTATTAATGTGACACCACGTATTCTTGAAGAATTGATGTCGAACATTCTAGGAATATCCAACTTAAATTCCGTTAACCATCCGAAATCCACCCTCGGCCCTCGGAACCTCAACCAGATATACCAACAAGTCCTAAAACATCATACGAATTTGGTCGATGCCTCAAATCACATCAAATAACACTAAAATCATGAATCATACCCCAATTCAAGCTTAATGAACTTTAAATCTTTCAACTTTCAAACCTCATGCCGAAACATATCAAATCAATCCGGAATGAACTCAAATTTTGCGTACAAGTCATAAATGACATAACAAAACTATTCCAATTTACAGAATATGATTCCGACCTCGATATCAGAAAGTCAACTCCCCGGTCAAACTTTCAAATTTTAAATTTCATGTTTTCGCCATTTCAATCCAAATTTAACTATTGACTTCCAATGTCACGACCCCAAATTCCCTCCGTAGGATGGCGTGATGGCACCTAGTCTCTAAGACTAGGTAATCCTATCAATGCAGAATAAATATAAATAATTAAAATACAATTCAAATAATTTCAACTCCCAAAACCCGGTAGAAATAAGTCACAAGCTTCTAAGAATTTATCCTCGATGTCTCTATATAACAGAGTCTAAAGAAAATAAGGAAGCAACATAATAAGAATAGAAGGGGACTCCGGAGTCTGCGGGCGTTGGCAGATATACCTCGAAGTCTCCTCGTACAGCTAGTTTACTGATGCGTGGTCTGATAAGATGTACCTGGATCTGCACAAAAAGATGTGCAGAAGTGTAGTATGAGTACACCACAGCGGTACCCAGTAAGTGCCAAGCCTAATCTCAGTAGAGTAGTGACGAGGTCAGGTCAGGCTCTACTGGAGAATAAATAATGGCATGGCAAAATGTTTAGATAATATTATAAGATAAAATGACAATGGAAATGAATCAAGTAGTATGTCACATTTAATTACATCAAATAATGGCAAATAAATACCTCGTGAAAACAAAATAAAATTCTTTTCAACTTTAAGAAATTCACACAATAATCAAAGGCAACTGCGGCCATAAATCAATATCAACAAGGGCACTCCTGAGGTATCACCTCGTAGTCCCAAATCATAAGCAAATTCACAATAT